CATTCACTGCCATTATAAAGCCTGGAAGAGCCAGAATGTTTCTTAATATAACTCTGATTGTATTCGTCTGAAAGACGAAAGTCATATACATCTAGGATAGCTTGATAAGGACCACATGACTTGAGTTCATCTTTGAGAATGAAAACCAACCTGTTTGTTCCTCAGCATCTTCTTGTTTCAGACTGAACACTTCTTCAATCCTCACGTCTTCGAGCTCCTCCTTAATGAACGCCATCTTTATAACCGTGTGTCACGTGGATCTCAGTTACTTCGCCAGTTTTTCTGAGTGACATTTAAGATGAGAATAATTAACAGATGTAAAAAATACATGCAAACTAAATGTCTCAATCAGCTCCCTAGTTCAGCAGTCAGTGCACTGATAAGGGAGTCAGTCAAAGTGATAGTTAATGGTCTTAAATGAGCTGATTATCCACAAAAAACTATCACAAATGATCTATAAAGTTCATATTTAGGTATATGATTTATATAGCTGGTATTTGTGGATAGCATGTATTATATCAGATTTTAGTTAGTGCACTAGTTAAATACAGGTTTGTCAGAGTTATCATCACATGTTTATGTTTTGGTTGTGTTTACATTGTGCGGACCGTCAGCGCGCGGTGACTCAAGAGATTCGAATAACTGAATCGGTTCGCGAAGCAATTGATTCAATTGACTCCGAGTTTCTAAAAGCTCGGTTTCTCCATCACTTGCTCATCAATTCGTGTTTATGGTAAGCTGATACACGATAAAGGAAGCAAAGTGAGGCGCACTTCTCTGTTACTGATGTGTGGATGCGCTTTAATCACACAAATAGCGCTCATGCGTGTTAGACGAAGCACTGCAGCAGTACATTACACAATCATTAATTTTACATCGCTTTTTAAAAGACTATGAAACTGCTCGAACGGGTTGCATCGATGTAAACACTTAGCTTTAAATGGCTAAAAACACAAACCTTTCTTTAGTCGAATCACAGCGCGGTCTTATGACGTCACACCATCAGAACAAAATAAAAGTCCTAAATAATTATTTTTATATGTGGCAAAGTATTCAAATATATTTTCCAGTGATGTTCTGAAAATAACTACCGATGAAAGATATAAGCCTGTGTGAGATTCTGTCTGAAAGGCTAAATTATTTACACCAGCGGTCAGAAGAAGTGTATAAATATAGTAGTTTGATGCATTTTTACAATGAACCACAGAAAAGTATTAGTTTATCACTAAATATAAAATGTTTTCAACCAAATTAAACCTTTAGTAGAGCAACAGACACATGCAACAATCATTAAGTAGCATGTTTCAGTGTTATTATTTATCGTGCGCAGAAGAATATGAAACTTAAAGATTGCCTTCCATCAACATTCTGTCAAGTTTATATGTATTCTTATATTTCAATATGCATTAAAAATGATATTTGAATGGCCTCCTGTGCTGAACTGTGTGAGTTACACTGCTGAAATGTGTCTAAATCTTACATTAGATTATTTTGCACTGATTCAACATTGTTTAATAAACTGATTAATCTGTGCAGCAGCAAAAACATCTGTTCTACTGAAGAAAACATCATAGATATATAAACTGAAAAAAGACTAATTAGGCTTACGATGCTTTTGGGAAACGCAGCCCAGATGATCAAAGATTGTGCATCCCTTTTCATGCTCGACACCACACAAAGCAGATGAACGTTTGTTTGTTTTTGTGACAGCGCAGGCCACTACAACACAACCTGTGTGCCTGAACCAGCGAATATGAAACAAAAATGCAAAATACAATTAATTAAAAAGAGGGATATGTGAGAGTGGTCGATTAAACAGTACTGCTGCTGCTGCTGCTAGTCATTTATGGAACCCAAACTTAAAAAGTTTTCCTTTTTGTTGCTTTATTGTTTTTTATTTATTTATTTAAAGGGATAGTTCACCCAAAAATGAAAATGTGATGTTTATCTGCTTCCCCCCAGGACATCCAAGATGAAGGTGACTTTGTTTCTTCAGTAGAACACATTTGATGATTTTTAACTCCAGCCGTTGCAGTCTGTCAGTCGTATAATGCATGGCAATGGTAACAAAATCTATGAGAGTAAAAAAAACATGCACAGACAAATCCAAATTAAACCCTGCGGCTCGTGACAACACATTGATGTCCTAAGACACGAAACGATCGGTTTGTGCCAGAAACCCAACAGTATTTATATAATTTTTTACCTCTAATACACCACTATGTCCAACTGTCTTTAAGCGCGCGCACGGCATCCGGTGCGTGAGGCGTGTACGCGCTCTGGCGTAGTTTACTAGTTGATTAGCCGTCGTACCTACAATGTTTGTGCACTGTTGTGTTGTGTTGTGTTGTGTTTACGCAAGCGCGGGAAGTGATCTCTCGCTCGTATACGTCACTCATTGGTTACACAGTGCACAAACATTGTAGGTACGACGGCTACATAGTGGTGTACATACTTGCGCTTATCCAGATTGTTCAAACCGACTTAAAACTAAAAG